CTCCCTTCTGTCCATTAAAGATAGTGCTCCTTTTTCTTTATCTCCTGCCTGTTCTAGGTCCCCGTCCCTGTGGAACACAATAAAGTATGTATGTGTATGGTATGTATGTATGTATGTATGTATGAATCTATCATCTATGTATGTATGTATGGTATGTATGTATGTATGTATGTATGTATGTAGGAATCTATCATCTATCTATCTATCTATATCTATCTATCATCTATCTATCTATCTATCTATCATCTCTATCTATTTTCTATCTATCATCCATCTATGTATCCATCCATATCATAAGGCCTATAGAGTCTAATTTGTGTCCCCAAATGTCCTTCAATGTGGGTCCACCCACTGGAGCCTGTTTAACCTATTAAGAGTTCCAGCCTTGAAAGAGGCTGTCTCTCCCCTTCCCATTAGCCATTGGTTGCCAAAATTTCTTTAGTTTGGATTGGGGTTTCTAACCTACTTCCCCATGTCTATGTTAGGATTTTTGTCTGGTTTGAGCTTGCATGGGGCTTGTTCATGCTGTAGCCATTTCTGTGAGTTCATATGAGTAACTGACTCATATGAACAGTTTGGAAAACTCTTTCCTTATATACGTCCACACCTCTGGCTTTTACAATCTTTCCAACCCCTCTTTCACAACGATCCCTGAGCCTTGGGAGGCAAAAGCTTGATAGAGGTGTCCAATTCAGAGATAAAAACTCTGCAGCCTCTTGGTCTCTGTACATTGTCCAGTTGTGAATCTCTGTTAATCATCATCTGTTGCATAAGGAAACTTATCTGGTGAGAGTTGAGAGATGCATTAATCTATGGGTATAGCAAGAAGTCATTAGGAGTCAGTTTAATATGATAACTATTTAGTAGAAAACTAGTATTTGGTTCTCCCTTATGTCCTGTGACCTATCTAGCCTTGGATTCCTAAGTTTGATAGCATTGCTAGGTATGGGCTCCATCCTATTAAGCAAGCCTTAAATCTAATTAGAGAGTGGTTGGTTACTCCGATAGTATTCATGCCACTATTATACTGGTAGGCATATCTTGCCAGGCCAGTTGTTGTAGTTCACAGCATTCACAGCTGGTAAGGCTGATGATTGTTTTGTTTTGTTTTTTTTTTCCCTTCTAGTGGAATGCATAGTGCCTTCTAGAACTATGAATGCTAGCCAGTAGAGCAGAGGCTCTGAAGTCAACACCAGCTTGACTGGTTATACATTGATGTATGTAGTGTCTTCAGCAATAGGGTCTGACCATCAAGTTCTGGTGGGTAACCAAGAGAAGGGAAATGACTAGTATTGTTTGAGATTCCATGGGGCCTCTGGTCAACACTTTTCTGTATTCTTGATTTAATCTCCCTAACTCTGAAATTTTGCTTTAATATTGCACGCCACTTCCTCTCATCTGACACAAATTCATTGGTTTATCAGCCTCCTGATGGAGCATTTTCATTCTTGTCTGTGAGTTAGAAGCTCAGAACATTTGCTACCTTGAGGTTTTGTTTCATAGGGATTCATCTCAATTTGCCTTGAGTTCTTCGTGCTCTGTAAGCAAATATGTTTTGAGCTTGAACAGATGTACATTGGTTCATTCAGCATTTATTCAACAAAAATGTTTATTAAACATTGCCATAAAGCAGGCATTTTGCCTGTCCTAAAGGAGTAAGGATAGATGATGTATGAAGCATTTGTAATCCAAAAATAAAATAGCTAACATTTATTGTGTGCTTACTAGATGTTAGGTAGTAAGTGCTTTCTAAATGCATTCTGTTTCATTCTGTCCTCACAATGACCCCATGAGGAGATTTTAAAATAATATTCTGTATCTTCTTTATCTTTGAGTGTGTGTGTGTATGTGCATATGTGCATAAAGGACCCTCAGAGGTCAGAAGAGGGTGTCAGATTCCATGGAACTGGAGTTACAACTTTGAGCCACCCAACCTGGGTATTGGGAACTGAACTCCAGTCTTCTGTAAGAGCAACAAGAACTTTTCATTTGCTGAGACATTTCTCCAGCCAAAGGTAGGCATTTCAATTCCATTTTTGCATGTGAAAGAAAAACACAAAAGAGTAAAGAACTCAAAATTCATGCATCTTGAGGTGGGGTTTTAGGGCCCATAGTCTCTACTGTCTGTCTCAGAGGCCCTGCAACAATCAGTGCTCACTATTTGTCTCAGAACACTTGTGATTCAGGGTGTATTTTTTCCCAAGTCTATTGCACATCCCAAGTTCCATGGCATGCCTGGAAGTGTAAGGGAATTCTTAGAATGTCAGAGGAAGAGGAGGAGTCATTCTTACATGCTTTGCTTGGATGGATCAAAACTCACAATCTGTCAGTATGTATCAAGATACTTTAAGTCTTTAAACCCAGTTTTAGCCTGACCTAGTTTGCTGTCTATTGCTGTGATAAAGCACTGATCAAAATCAACTTGGGGAAAAAAGAGTTTATTGCATCTTACGCTTCTAAGTGAGGGGGATCAGGCAAGAACTTGGGGTAGGATCCTAGAGGTAGGAACTGAAGCACAGACCATGGAGGAACGCTGCTTACTGGCTTGCTCTTTTGGCCTGTGCTCAGCCTGCTTTCTTGTATAGCCCAGGCCCACCTGCCCAGAGGTGGCACAGCCCACAGTGGGCTGAGCCCTCCTACATCACTCAACAATCAAGAAAATGCCTCACAGCCATGACCACAGGGCCAATCTGATAGAGAAAATTCCCCAGTTGATGCCTTGTGGCTACAGGGAGATCCTGTTTCAAAAAAAGATAAAAAATGATGCTTGAGGATAATATAAATATTTTAGAAAGAATGAGAAAATGCACTTACACTGAATTCTGATGTGCATGGAAGATGTAACTGTCCCTTGCTTCTCCCCTGTAACTTGCCTAATCTTGTGAGCACACACGCCACCATTCCCCATCTCTCTCGCACTTCCTTCCCTTACCTCCACGGAGTCAGGGAAATCCTAAATGAATTTTCCTTTAACTAGATCAGCTCAGTCTCTTTGGGATAGACTCCCAGTTTTTCACATTCTTGCTTCTGTCCTTGAGCTTCATTAAGATGGTTCTGGGTATGTGGGGGAGGGTCGGAATTCTGCCTCCTGCATTTGAGAACCTTGGAATCCCACAAACACACTTTTCTTCTGTCCTCTGCCTCTCTGGGTCTCTGTGTTAATGATCCTCTGCTGTTGGTTGGTGCTAAAGTTTTGGGTGATTAATTTGCGGGGAGTTCTTTGGGCTCAATGGAGACTACTAGGTCTGATTCAGTCCTACACAGTCCAAGCTGAGACTTGGTGGCAACCCCCCCGCCCACCTCCATCATCTGTCCTTGGTTTGGGCACAGCTTGACCTGTAGCCCTTGGATGTTAGGCTCACTCAGCTTTATGTGATGTAGCCTTGGAACTGCCCATGCTGAATCCCAGTGGCTCCCTTCCTCCTGTGGGCTGTGCAGCAGCTATTTCCCTTTGTGGTTCACATCTTTGCCTGGTTTGATGACAGTCGAAGGTATCAGTCAGTGGGAAGCCAGACCGAGTTCCCTCCTGCTCCCAGCTTTTCCTTTAAAATGTACCGCATATCAGGGAGGCGGAATTTTGAATGCTGTTTTTTTTTCTTTCTGATTTTATGGTTCTAGATATGATTGCAATATCTAATGTTTCTTTTCAACCAGGTATGTTGGTGTGTGCCTGTAATCCCTGCACTCAGAAAATGGAGATGGGAAGATTAGAAGTTTAAGATCATTCTTAGCTACACCTAGCATCTTGGAGGTCAACCTGGGCTACATGAGACCCTGTCAAAAAGAAGGAGGGGAAGTGGGGAAGGGGAGGAGGGACAACAGAGCAGAGGCTGGTTGTTAAATTATGGTCTATGGAAGAGCCCCATTTGTATTTTTAAAGGTGGGGAGTTCTTGTATTGTTTCTGTATCAAAAT